ATCTGAGATAGTTTTTCAGAGCTAATTAAATGCTACTGGTTCAATTACTTAAAACCTGATCATATATTACTGTTAGCTGAAAAGGACTTAATGATGGCAAGACATTTTTCTTCCCATGGAAGATGTGACCTGAGCTATGAAATGATTTATTGTTGGTCATCACAAGAAAAACTTGGAATACATCCCATTTTTCTTCTTGCTTATTAGTAGGAAAATTATTCCTCTGCATTTCTTGAATGGAGAGTGAATTTCTGCATAGCTGTGCTGAATAAGTGAGGGGAAGGGTGTGTTCTGGTGAGCCACCAGCAACCAGAAGATGTCACTGCAATTGCATGTCCTGAGAGACTGGGGGTTGGGGGCGTGTCCAGTGGTGCCATGTAAAGAAGCTTTTGGGTTATTTTGATAACAGTAGTGGCTGAGATTAATTCTATGTGGCGTCTTCCTTTGTCAGTGTTCTGCAGAGAGCTCTCCTGCATTGCAGGGTTCTGTTCAGTCCAGTGGGGAGTAATTCTCATCAAAGGGCATTCTGCCTCCTTAATTTCATGTCATTTCCTGAAGGATAGCTGGGCATGACAGTGGCATGGTGCATGGATAAGCACATGAGAAGCTAAAAAGAGCTTCCTAGAAAATCCATGATTTTGGAATTAGGACAGAGGAAGGTTGGCTCTGTTTCCTAAATATACCCAATGCCAGCTGTGAAGGAAAGGTAGATTTTAGTTTATTGTCTTTAAATCTGGGAGCTTTGCTGTTCACATTCAACTGGTGGCTCAGTGCTACAGTAAGACCAGCTACTTATTTTTAGCACAATCTTTTATTCATGAGGCATTTGCAAAATGTGACTTTAAAAGTACCATCCAGAGTGTGTTATTGTGAGCAAAACAAACCCAAACTCAACCCTGTATGTACTTTAAGTACATAGTTACAAGCAGACATGGTGGGATGTTCTGAAATACCTGTCTGCATTTCCAATGGTATAAATACATTTATGGATGGATTTAAGTCCAACTCAAGCTTCCTATCTGAGGTAGAAACATTCTTCTGTATAAAATCTGTGCTTGAACTACTCTTGACAGAGGTGTAAGCGTAGCAGTGAAATATTTGTAAAGAAACCTGCATTGATTCAGGCTTTCTTAGCTCTGACACGGACTCCAGTACATTTTATGTGCAAGCTCCTAAGCTATAGAACTTGCCCATGTGGTCATGTTTCTAAATGAAGCACTTCTTTGAAAAAGCAAGTTGGGTAAGTAATGTTTTTATTAAAGAAAATTGCTATCTGCAAACTGGTAAATTGTTACCAGACAGCAGAAGTGTTCATGCCTGTGACCCTGAAGTGTGGTTTTAGGTGGTGCTCACTGATAGCTCACGTATGTCTGTCCCTTGTCATGTGAAGTCCCTTCCTTTGGCAGGCTGATGGTGCTTATTTTGTAATAACTACTGGGCCTTAAAATATGGGAGTATTGAACAACTTTTTCTTGCTGATGTTTCTCTTTTACTTCTATTTTGCTTACTATTGGATCTTAACATGTCCAGGACCAGAGTCCAACTGAAGTGAGCTATCCAGTGTGAATTTAGTAATGCTTGAGCTGATTAAACTTTGGTTCTTGGGGAGGGGCAGGATGTTCAATGATGCTGTGGAGTTTGAACCATGTTTCTTGTGCTCTGTGACTTGTTCTCTAATGAGACTCTCCATTATGCAATGCTACAACCATGGGTGGCTGTCGTTGCCATTGGCCATTGCCTGTGTGTGTAACAGGCAGCTGGGCTGGGGTTCTGGGACTTCATCCAGCATTCAGACTTTAAAAGAAATTGTTTGTCTTTCTCTTTATTGGAATTCCATACTTTTAAATTGTATTTGGAATTGGATGAGTCTGGGGGCGGAGGGGGTGGTTTCTCACCATTTTTGTTTTGCTTCATTTGAACAATAGTCCACAACTAAAACTGCAAAATCACTTAGGCTCTCATTAAAGCCTTCTTTGAGAATGCTAATAAAGCATTGTGGTAGGGAAGGATGGCAGCCATCCCACAGTTCCTTACCACATGAATCCAAGTTTCTGTGAGAGCTGATGCTTCAAGGACTTGGTGGTTTGTTTTCTTTTCAGGCTGGGAGAACATCAGCTTCCACAATACTGCCTTGCTAATGGAACCCCAGCATGAGGCCTCAGGGTTGTTTGGTTTTACACCATTCTCATCTCAAACCTCTGAGGGATTTCAGGCCTGGCATTCACACCTCAATAACCTGTTTTCATCAGCTTTTGGGGAGCTTTAGTTAAACTGTGAAACTGTTCCTTAGCTGTATGTATGACATTTCTTTGTGTGATTTCATGTCTCTCAGTGAGGACCTGCTTGTAATTGTCACATGAAGATGAGAAATTAACAGATGGGAGTCAGGGAGATGGTTGGAACCTCAATCACCAGCAGCTCTGTAGATCTTTGGTAAGAACCAAACAGTAGAAGGGGTAGCTGGGTGAGTCCCATCACTGCAGGTTCAGTTAAATGCTGATAAGAGCCCATTGATCCCCAAGACACCCTTGCATACCAAAATCCAAGCAATTTTACCTGGGAGCAACAGCAGGAAAACCTCTAGGGAAACTGGGAGGCAAAATAACCACACTGTTAATGGCTGTCCTCAAGAAAACAGCTGTGGTTGCTGGCACAGAGAAATGTGGTTTGGTGAGCTGGGTAAATGAGAATCCCATCAGATAGAATGGAGGTGGTCAGTGTTTCGAAGCTCATAATGTTCCCTGAGGACCTGAGGAGCACCTTGCTGTGATCAATTATTAAAAAGGGGTAAAAACCCTTAATGGGACATTATTATGAGGGAATAACTAAACACAAATTACTGAACAAATTCCATAATTCCATTATTAAAAGAAAAGCTGTGTTCTGGCCTCAGTAAGATCTTTCAGTGTCCCGTGTCACCTCTTGCGTGGCTCTCAGTGTCTCATCCCTGTAACTGTCTGTGTACCGAGGCCACGAGCTGCCACCACAGCCGGTCACACAAAGGGCTGGAACACACCAGAATAAAACCAGAGCTGCTGGATGCCAAGCCAAGCACCTCCTGGGCCTCCTCTTCAGTGACCATCTTCAGCCTATGACCTCTTCATCCTACAAACCTGTAAGAACTCACCATCTCCAACACTGCCTGTGATATTAGCCTGTGTAGGTCAAGAAGTGTCAGGTAACAGGTTCCAAGGAACAGGTAACAAGTGGCTGGATGTCAGGAAATGGCCTCCAATTATGCCAGGGAAGATTTTGATTAGATACTAGGAAAATGTTTTCACAGGGTTGGAAAGGACTGGAAGACTGCCAAGGACAGTGATAGAGTCACTATCCCTGGAAGTGGCACCTGAGGACAGTTTAACGGTGAACATGGTTGTGATGTTGGGCTGATTGTTGAACTCTATGATCTTAAAGGGCTTTTCCAACCTCAGTGATCCTGTGATCCTAAGAAGTTTGAGGTGGGCAGGGTTGGCCAACAGATCAGCATGAGTGAGCAGCCCTCACAGATGGGGTGTGTAGGAGTCAGTGCTGCTGGGGACAGCTGTACCTAAAACAACTTATAATGTCTTTATTTTCCTTTTATTTATTTTCAGGTATACACTTACAGCATTTCTGAGATTAATGATCAGATGATGTCTTTGAGCAAAAAGACTGTGGGAGGAATCAACATTTGACTGATACTCAGGCTTATTACAGACTGGGGAGAAAGAGTGTTTTTCAATGTTTCTGCTATTTTTTTGATGCATTTAAGAATGTTTCCCCTTTCTTAGTGGTTTCCTTGGCTGGGCTTTTTCAGAGAACCATGGTAGAAGGAAGAGCATTTTCTGGAAAATTAGGAAACACGATTGTGAAAAAAGAAAAGGTTTCCTTTAGATTTGGGTGTCTCCTTGGGTTGTTTTTTCACTTTGATAGAGATGAACAAATACTAATGGCACTACAGCTCCTGTGCTAAGGGGTACCCATTCAGGATAGCCATATGGACACTCACGTTTGCAGAACAAAATTAAGAGTATAGTGGGCTTAGCTTCATATACAAATATAATGCAGTCCTAAAAGTACAGAATTTCCACCCCTTTTGTGACAAAAGAAAATCTAAGCCACCTGTGACATTTAAGTACCAGTCATAGTTCATAGGATGATTATATCTCAGAAACAAAGCTTAGTAGTTATGTCCTTAGAGCCCATCAGCCACTGCAATATATAGAATTTTCATCACCAGAAGAATAGCTTCATACCAAAAATTACTTGGGGCAGTTTACTGGAGTAATGACTGGAGGGATGCACATGGTGATGATTTTCATTTTGTACTATGGTTTGTCTAAGGATGATGGTGAAAGAATTATGCCTCTTAATGCTCCTTTCCAATATGACAGTGTTTTACTCATATTAAAGGAAGAGGAATTAGATGAGCTGTGAGTGGTTGGATCTTATGAAAAATGAAGTTTTAAATGTGTACTTCATTGTCTAAATGCTCACAGATTACTTGTCTCCCTATAATAACCTTAGAAAGTGTGTTGGCAGCATATCACAATTAATAATCCATAGTCATGTGCTACAGGCAGTCCAAAATTCCCCAAACATATTTCTTACCCAAGCTTATAACCAGATTCAAATCAAATCCTACATTTGTGCCAAAAATTGAACAGCAGTCATCTCCCAGCAAATAATTTTACCTAACCAACTCAAGAGTCTTAAATTCCTGATTTTTTCCAAAGTGAAATTCACATTAATCTCATACTAATGTATATATCCTTCAGTCACCTGGAAAAGAATCCCATAACCTTGCAGTAGGGATTGCACAGACAGTGGAAGCTGCTGTACACACATAGCATTACTGTAGGTTTACCTGGCCATCTAGATTGTGTAAGATCCTTTAACATTAATGGGGACAAGTTTTCTCTCTAGGGTGATGTTAAATTTCTCTTTGAGGGTTTTTTCCACCTCTTCATCTTCAAGAGTTACAAATTCCACCAGATCCATGTTTTCCTTGTAGTTGTACGTGGTCTCAGTGAGCGTCCACCCAATTAGCGCTCGGAATCCATCGGTTGTCTGGAGGGTGCAGATGGACTTCTTTGTGAAGAGGGAATCTGGAGATGTCTGGAGGTATGTGCACTGGAAGCGGAAATCTTCCACTGTCCGTGGCTCAAGGCTGAACATATAAACTTTGCGACACTCTTTTTTCTCCAGCAGATCAGAGTTGGAGAAGCTCTGATTGGGGATGTATTGTTTCCGTCTCATTTTCTCCAGGTACCAGACACCGTTTTTCTCTGTGAAGCGGAAAACGCCGGGAGCCTGGGGCTGGTCTTTCCCTGACACGAGCTCCATGGGCTGCCACATCTGGTAGGACACCCCGAAGCCTCCATCAACGACGTAGGCTTTGCCATCGATGACAACCTTTACCACCAGGTGGGTCATGAGGGTGGCGTAGGCGTTCTGGTGGGGGTTGAACACGTAGGCTCCCAGGAAGCTGGTCTCATACCCCAGGCCCCTCAGCACCCAGCCCAGCAGCTGGTTGTTCTCCATGCACCAGCCACCCCGCTTCCTCCGCACAATCTTGTTGTAAACGTGTTCCAACTCCAAAGTAATTTTCTCCCCACAGTGGATGCTGAGGTTTTCGAAGGGAACGGCACGGATGTGATGCTGGAATATATCGGTTAAGGTTTCCAAATCTTGTTTTTCAGTGGAGCCTTTATAGCCAGTTCTTGCAAAATACTCTTCAAGGTTCATCTCACCTGTAAAGGAAGGAATTGTGTTTTGGTTTCTTTACATCAGTGATTTATGACACTGTGAGAAGCTGCCCTGGCTCTGCCAGCAAAGATTCTTTAATCTACTGAACCTCATCAGAACAGCTTTTAAAGGAAACAAGCATTCCTATCAAATGGTTCCCTGAGCAAAGAGCAGTGCACATGAGGGTTTGCTTTTGTCTTAGAGTCATCCCTCTGGCAAACAGCTGATGCCATTTCAGTTTCATACGAGGCGGCTGGGAGATGAGGATTTGTTGTATTTGCATTGTAACAGCAGGGTTAAGAAGAAATGTAAGATCTTGCTGGGGAGTGTGTACAAGGGTTCATGAGAAATGGTCCGAAGCCACTGCTCAGTGACAGGACTGAGGCAGTCACTGGGGGAGGCAGTGTCATCTGCCAGTGGGAGGGAAGATGTTCTGAGCCAGGATTCACGTTCTTTTCATGAGTCTGCCACTGATGGACGTGACAGTAAATGAATCTCTCGTTCAGTACATGTTGCTCTTCCACCACTTACAACATGAAAAGTAAAGTAACAAGCTTTATTCAGATAATTATAACTGAAAAAACTCTGAGAGTCTTGTGTCTGCTCAGAGTGTTGTAGAAACTCATTTTGGTGTTGGAATAATGGATCTGAATGGAGGGAAGTGAGTGGCCTAAAAGACAAGGAGCACACCTCCATTCCCTCCTGTGCCCTGTGTCTCACAGGCCACCCTGAAAATGAACAGGGGCTGCTTTACTTTTTCTCATCCTCAGCTTTCTCAAAACTCACCAATTCTTTAACTCAGCAGTGAACTATTGAATGTTTACTGCAAACTAGAATTTCTCGAGATGATTCTCAGTGGCAGATTCATGCTGTGCATATTCATGGTGTGGAAGCAGCTCTACACCATTCACTGTCCCAAGTTAATGGAGAGCACCAGCAAAAACTACACATTACCTGCTACAGAGAGGAATTTAACTTCCAGTGATGTGCTTATTGTTGGAGGATATGTTCAAGGTAGTATTTATTAACTGTAACATAAAAGTCATGGCACTTTTGATTTGCAGAATCTGAGCATATCTGATCCTATCACTCTGACTGTGAATGCTAAATAGATCACACCAGTATAAAGCCAGTTCTCAAGTTTGTGTTATTTGTTTCTTTCTGCAGCTCCGTAATATGCTTGATCAGCACTAGATCTGGACTGCAGGAGATGAAAGTCACTGTTCTTTTGAAATGTGAGCAGACCAGATGAAAAGGCAGGTACTGACTAGGTTGTCCCACAAATGTGGTTATGATTTATGTAGAGAAAAACATTAGCAGAAGAATATTAAAGGTGCAAATGAAGATGTTCATACAAAACTATTCCTTACCAGGACTATACACAGTATCAGCAATTCCACTTTTGAAAATGTGTTATCTTCTTTATCCTAATACATCAGCACATGGACTTCTGGGTTGCACAACCCAGAGTCTGTAATTTTTTTAAGTTCTTTTTAAAGAGCTGTAATCTTACTCCCTTAAAGCAGAATCTATTGATTATTAGACTGAACTTTTGCTTCCTTTGCACTTGCAATACTTTTAAATAAATTTAAGTATCTAAAAGCACGACTTCCAACAAGAAGTGCCAGTTCTAAATTTATATCTACTATTGTACCTAAACAAAAGAATCTATTTTATAGTGAAGTGAAGCTTCTTCTGAAGAGTGAAAGGTACAAGAATTGAAATTGCATATCACTGTTTTGCCCTTTAACTGCCCCTGTTTAGCAGGTGATATTTTAGCTTTATATGCACACATTTTAGAACATTTCTCCTAGAGAATGTTGCTTACATTATTGTCCATGACCTTTACCATGATAAAGAAACCAGGGTTTTGGTATCTTTCTTTGGAGGGGTTTTTTAAGAAAATAAACTTACCTCTTATGAGATCCCTTTTTATTTATTGAGGTATTCAGTTTCTGGGTAGTTTATTAGAGGGGCAGCAGTCAGTGAAGCCAGAAGTGGATACAGATTGTGAGGGTTGTCTTTCTAAGCTCTGCTGGCCCTCGCTTCTGAATCTTAAGTTCCAAGAAAGGGCAGAGTCCACCCAAAAAGAATTCACATTTTTGGACTTCGCTGATCCGTGAGCAAATTAAACTTTGTTTCTTCCTATTAGTAGATGTTTATGCCTTCCCCTAGTTAAGACCAGAATGAACTCCTTCTCTATGTAAAATAATTAGAGTCGGCAGTTGCAAATGGCGTTGTAACTGTTTTTAATTAAACACTGTTATTTTGCAAACCAGCACTTTGCAATGGAGGATGTTCATCTGTGCCCTGGTGGGTACACTGAGGTGCCAGGTGTTGCAGGCTCCATGTCCCTGAGCTCCATGGACGCACAAATGACCCTTCTTCCACATAGGAACTTATTCAAACTGTTCAAATCCTCAGCTGGGGCAGGGAGTTACTGTGGAGCTGCCACACCTAACAAATGACATGGCAAATATTTATTTGCATGAAGTAATACATTTCTGCTCTAAAACCTGGCCTCCTGCATCCTCACAGCGTTTATTTAATTCTCCCCAGGTCAAGCCTGTCCCCCCTTCATTGGATGGAGGTGGAATATCAGAGGATTTCTTTTGCATCCACATATTTTAAGGTAGCTTTTGTGCAGAATACTGTTTGTAATAAATACAAAGACTTTTATCTATAATACTGTCATCTCCTCTTGATAGCACATGAAGGCATGGTCCCAAAAGTTTAGATTATAGTTTGCAAAGATTGATCTAACTTTTTTCCTAGTTTTGATACCAAAAGCCTGATTTTCAAGAACTGTTGAATCATCTCATCTTCTACAGATTTTATTTTGAATTCAGAGACACAGATAAATCAGACTCAGAAAAAGTGTGTACTCAAAATTAGAGAGATTTTAAGGGGGTTTAGGTACCCTTGGATAAATATCTTACTTTAAGTTTATTTCTGAAAAGGGAACAGGGCTTAAGTCTTTCAACTTTTTTAAGCTAATCAGAACCTAATGGTGGCTTGTTTTGAGAAAGTCTTAACCTTTCTTTTTTTCTACATCATTTAAAAGCCAAATTCAGCTCAACTGAAGTGCATAATTTGTAAAAGTCACTGAGAAGCTTGGAAATAATGCCAAAAAAAGTTAGAGGTCTTTTGTGCAAAATGGTAACAAAGCCTCTCCTTCTGCATAATTTTGGTCTCATTTGCCACAAAATATATCTGCAATAAGAGTGAAAAACCAATTTCCATATGAGTAAAACAGAGCTCGTAAGATGTTTTGGTTTCTAAAGAAGGAGAAGTTTAATAAAAAATATGCAATCAATATATGCAGTTAATTAGCAGTGTGCTAGAATTTACCAAGCTTTGTGACTAGCTCGAGTTAAAAATGAGATTACTGTAATTAATGTTAATTTTAGAATTTTCCTCTCAGCTATTTAAAGATCCACCTAGCACATTGTTACAATTAGATTTTATCCACTAAATTAGGTGGCAAGCCACGAACATTTACTGGTACAAGTTTGTTCTCCAGTACTATATTGAATTTATCTTTCAGTGTCTTCTCAACCTCTTCATCTGTAAGGGTTGTGATGTTCACCAGGTCCATGTCCTCTGTGTAGTTATACTTCATCTCAGTGAGGGTCCATCCAACTAAGGCAAGGACCCCACTGGTGGTTTGGAGACTGCAAATTGACTTCTTCCGAAGGATATTATCTGGAGACACTTGGAGGTATGCATTTAGCTCCTGGAAGTCATCTATATGCCGTGGCTCGAGAGTAAATCTATATATTTTTCGGATATTCCCCAGTTCTGGAGTATGAGGGAAGTCATTCTTGCTGTGCTCAGGAATATAATGCTTTCTTTTGACTTTTTCAAAGTACCAGGTGCCATTGTCTTCCATGAAGTGGAAAATGCCAGGAACCTGGGGTTGGTCCTTCCCAGAAATCAGCATCAGTGGCTGCCACATCTGGTAGGCACCACCAAACCCAGGATCTACTATGTAGGACTCTCCCTTGATCACCACCTTCAGCAGGATATGGTTTATCTGAGCAGTGTATCCCTTCTCTGCTGGGTCATAGCTGTTTGCACCCAGAATACAGACATCATACCCTAATTCTTGCAGGGCCCAGAAGAGGAGGTGGGTGGTTTCCAGGCACCATCCACCACGTTTCTTTCTCACAATCTTATTGTAAGTAGACTGCAAATCCAGTTCGATGGCCTCCCCGCAGTGCATGCTGAGGTTCTCGAAAGGAATGCTCTGGATGTGATGCTGGAAGATGACTGTCAGGGTTTGCAAGTCTGCATCCTTATGGGGCTTGTTGTAAGATATTCTTCCAAAATACTCCTGAATGTTCATTTTGCCTGTGTGAGCAGAAAAGTAGCCAGTTACTGCTGTGCAGCTGTCAAGGGTTTAATTCCTGTTTCTGTAGCACAGGTTAACCAGCCTGCAAATGTAGTCTGGGCCATTTTATTGAGGATCTAAAAGAATTTTAAGTATTTCTTTAAAAAGAGACAGGAACAGGAGCAGGTGGCAGTAATGCTCTCTCTCTCTCAGGGGCTGCCTTCAAACCAGGAGGATGTTTTTCCCATGGATAGACACAGCACATGCCATAACAGAATCTCTGGCCACAGAGGAAGATCCCACATGACAAATTTTTTCAATAATCAAGAAACAGGTTTGCAGAAAAGCTGCCACACCATACCAGCATAAAAGTCACAGCAAGATCTTACTGTTTCTTTTACTGCACCAGATAAGCAATTCTTTCTTTGTCCCACAGGTAATTTAACTGGAAGGTTTTGCATTCATGGATTCAGTTAACTAGGATTAACATCTCAGTGTGTCACCATTTCAGACAGGTTTCCATGTGAAGTAGATAATTTTTTTTCTTAATCTCTTAAAATTCCCTGAGGAGTTTAGACAGGGCTTTCACTGTGAAAGGAAGGGACTTCAATTTTTCTAGCCTAAGGATCAAAGAACTTGATCTAAAAGTACATACTAGGCGAGTCATAATCTTTTCGTTTCTTTGACCATCTTTTACAAACTAAAGGCTTTAGTTTCAGATCAAATTGTTGGAAATATTTTCCAGTTTTCTGTCTGTGTCTCTCATCCCCTTTCATTAGCAGAAAGACACTCATTGGCACTGATTGTGTGGCCAAGATACAAAAGGTTCCCTGTAAGACTTTTAATTCAGTGACTCATCTTCTCTCTGCAAGGATTTCTTTTGCCCTTAGTTTAGATTTAATTTGGCTTTTTTCCATGCAAGGATATTTGTTGTTCAGAACAATTCACAATCTGTTAAGGGCTATGTTAATTTCCAGAAAGTCTGAGGATTTCTTACTTCAACTGGTTGAACGTTCCCTGGGAGGATTTTCCATAAATATTTTGATGTGGATGAGATGGGACAAACTCCCTTCCACTGAATATTCTCAGCTTTGGTCCAACTGTTTCCCCCCAGCAGTTTGACCCCATGTCCATGCGAAAAGCTTGTGAAAATTCCAACTCAAATCCATGGGTGGAAGTGCCCCCACCTGAGCAGATGAGCACATCCAGTGGTGTAATCTCTAGACTTTAACCCAATCTTGATGACAGTAGCACAACTCACATGACTTGGTTGTATTGTTCCTGATCTGCACTAGTACCAACATTCAGACTGGGTAATACAAACACACAGGAAAATGTGATAGAGGATCATCCCAATAAGGGAATAAGAAATAAATATTATCACTTCAAAAGGACCCAAAGAGTCTACATGCAAAAAACAGTACTGTCTCTTTGATACTGCATTTTATTATTTTTTACATCCCTTTTTTAGGACAAGGGCACTCATTTCTGGCAGGATCTCCTTGGATACAGTTGTAGAAAGCCATTTCCTTCCCAACACACAGCACATGTGTTCACTGGCAGACTCATCCTGAGGTCTTCTGCCTCATTTTTCTTTCTATTCCCACTTTCAGCAATTTTACATAGGAAGATAGAAACATCTTTACCCCATGAGAGTGTGCAGCTGAATGTCTGTGACCAGCAGGAGCCCAGAGGAATGCATCAGCCTGGTGGGTCTGACATGCTTGGAATTTGCCTTCAAGAAAAACAGATCAGTCCCTGCTCTGGGTCAGCAGCAGAAGGCCTGATACCCTCTCTATAACCCATCTCCTGGGTCTGGGTGTCCCCATTACATGGGGAAAGCACAGGATAAAACCAGCTCCCCTCATCCAGCCATGCAGAGCCCCCATGGGGCTCTGCCAGTGAGGCTTTGGGAAAATACATTGGGAAATTCCCTGCCCATGCCTCATTTTCCCCAGCTGCCCCTTCTCTGATCTCATCAATTTAAAATCTGCTTCAGAGACAGCCTTGTGGTGGCTGACAAAATGTGCTCTGATCTCAATGAATACTTAAAGAGGTTTAAGTATAATAAAGCTGCACTACAACATCACTGACATTAGGGAGCATCCACATAAATCAGCGTTTACTCCCTCACCTCCATGGAGGCAGATTTTTCCTTGGCACAGCCATTCCTGCTCTGAGAGCCGCTGCAGCAGTGAGCAAACCCTCTCCCAAGGGACAGTCTGCATTCCCAAACTGCACTGCCAAATAACCCGAGCCTCAGTACACATCTTAGCCTTGGTTGTTTCTGCCCCTGCAGCAGCTGAGCTTAGCTCAGTGTTCCTGCAGCTTCGAGGGCAGTGGGATTCAGATGTTAGTTCTGCCTGTCTGTTCACAGTCCCTCGGGATCATTGGGTCCTTGGGTAATTAGGCTGAATATTAGGATCAGTACTTCTCAGCTAAAAATCACGAGAGATTTCCAAGGCTGGATACTCTTGCACATGCCTACACTGTTTGTTTGATTCCAAGTTACACTGTGAGTCAATAGCTGCATTTTTCATAAACTCTGGCTCAAAATAAAGGGTTAGTTTAACTGTCAAACACTGGATGTTGCACTTGGAAAATGCCCTTGCAATGCTCACTCACCATCAGCCCTGGGGTGCCTGTAGTTTGTGCTTTGCTAATGCTCCTGCAGTGCTGTGCACAGGGTGTGCAGGCTCACAGGGGTGGGCTTTCCCAGTGGGGCTGACCCAAAGCTGCAGGATGAAATTAAAGATCAGGCATGCAGAGCTTACCTCGAAGGCAGCCAGCTCAGGCTTTCCACTCTGGACTGTTCCAAAGTTCCCAGGAAGAGCTGCACTGGCAACTGCTGCTCTTAAAGGTCCAGGCTGCCTTTAGTGCCTGTCAGGGACAGCCTTATCCTCCAGCAGAGCAGCCAAAGAGGGGAGAGAGTTTCTCCTTTAATAGTACTTTCTATTCTGATGGTTTTATTGCTTTATTTGTACTGGCATAGGTGTGGAAATCGCTGTCATGCAATTTGTTGTGTTAGGTGCTGCACAGAGAGCCTGGAAATGATCCAGTCCCCAAACTGCTTATAATATTGAGGACATTTTAACCTTCCAAGTCACTGAATGACGGCTGAAACCCTCCAGGAGTGCAAAGCATGGGTATCATCAGCAACTTCTCTAAGTGGTTATAACCCAGAAAGCCATCCTCAACCCTGCAGGTCACCCAGGGGCTTCAGTGTCTGAGGCACCTTGCTGGGTGCTCCCATGCTAAAGCAGCAAAGCACTCGTGCAAAAACGATGCCGATTTTACATTGTTGACACTGATGTGCTCTGGATCCCTGTGGGAAGTGACTTATGATAGACAGAGAATAATCCAGAGCAGGAATTTGTTGATTTATTGGTGGGGATGGGAGCTCTTGAACAAATCCCACCACACCAAGCTATTCCTTGTGGCTGACACAAGTCCCACCAAGAAGCAAGGTCAGATTTGCCAAGTCAAGCAGTTCCCTAAATTCCCCTGGGTTCAAAGAGAAGCCCTGTCCTTCAAAAGGGAAGATTCTGCTCCTGGAGAACTCTGAGCTCCCTGAACCTGCTGTGCCTTTAAGTATTTGCCTCCAAAGTTAGTGATAAGGAAAAAAAACAAACTAGTGCAAACTGAAATGAAAGCCTCTTTTGTTTTCTTTCCTCTTTTTTCCTTCCAAGAGCAAGTTTCCCTGCACTGCTCAGCAGTGCCCTGTGCCTCTGTGCTGAGCAGGAGGCAGGAGCTCTGAGCTGTGCCCTGCAGGGGCAGCTCCCGGGCAGGGCCGGGCACAGGCTCCAGGTGAGTCAGCAGAAGGAAAAGTGCCCTTCCGTGTTCCTGCCCTCCACACGCTGCATCTCGGGACAAGGGGCACAATGCCCTAATCTGATCCTAAAGTCTGGGATTGTATAGCTCTGGACTCGTTCCCCAAGCCTATGGAGCAGCACAAAGTGCAGGAAACATCCTGACACAGGGAGAGAGGAATGGGTACAACCCTTTTCAGGTGGTTCTTATGTTTGTTCCCACAAAGGATGGACATTCTTGGCTCTGCCTGGACCTTCTCCTGCTCCACAGCTTTGCAAGACCTGCCTGGACTTTCACCTGCATCCCAATGCTTTGTCCCTGCTGTCCTGCTCAGTTTAGCTCCTTTAGCTCTCCCACTAATTTAGGGGGAAAACACAGGTTAAAAACAAGCCAGATCCTGGGACAATTTCTTCTGATCATTTCTGTTGAAAGCTGATGATCCACACCCACAAGAAGCCTCTCCTTTTACAGCCACATTTCATTTTCTCATAGGATGGGGGGGCCTCATGTGCTATAAAGAAATATTGCACCCCTGCAGCCAAGCACATGTGAATGAATTTGGGAAGACAGGGGTTTCAGGAGCTTGCCATGTCTCTAAGAAATATGTTCTGAACATGCAGAAAATCAGCTTTTATTAAATCTAGAACTGCTTGTTCTAGAAAGCTGCACATGCTGTACAACAAGGGAAAAAGTTTCAGTGTGTTGTTATCTTTTTAAAAGCCTTAGCTGGAAAATATTAGCATGTACAAATAATCAGGACAACTTCAGTGATTAACAACATTTATTTTTTTCCACGGGAATACATGCTGTAATTTAAGGGGGAAAGAAATCAGAATATTTCTAGTTCACAGTACTTAATTTTTTTATTTAATTGTAATTCACTACTTTAATTTGCTTAATTTTAAGTGCATAGTTGTAATGCTTCCAATATTCGTACATAAAGGAACACCAAGCATCTTCTCAAAGGGTAAAGGGGTCACATTTGAGTAGTTTCTCCTACTAGAAATCTTAGTTGTTAGGTATGTGATTAAGATTCATTACTTCTCCTTATATCAATATAATCAGTATCACTGCAAACACTTCCTCAGTAGAACAAAAAGAATTTTGTGCATGTGTTTGGGTTCAGCTGTAATAATTAACATGCGATAGCACCCAGTGTCTGAGGAGAGGAACGTGTATTCCCAGCACTCTGCTGCTGAGTGTGAGCAAACAAAATGCTCAGGAGATGCTTTCAGTTCAAAGAAATGCTGCTCTTTGGTTATGTCACTGAGAGAACAGGAGCTGTGCAAAGTCTCAAACAACACAGAATTGTCACTGACATTTCTTATTCTCAGTTCTAAGTCATAAAGAACCTGTCCTCACATGGTGAGTTTGCACAGGTGTGGGATGGCCTGAATGCCATGGGAGAGGCTGTTGTGGATGTGAGAGCAAAAAGAACAAACAGCCTTTTGGCTATACTGGAGAAAATCAGCACAGGATGGCTTTGGTTTTCTGTCTATTACACTCCCAAAATAATATAGTATTCATTTAAGAGGGAGGTGTGATTTTCCCAAGGAGCAGCATCAGGAAATAAAGACAAAGACATACAGCTCCATCATTCTGCCCAGCTACACTGGGTGTGTTTAGAAAAGCTTCTAAGAGATTAAAACATTAGGGAATGGGCTGAGTCTGCTTCCCACTAAGCACAAATAGAAGGATAGTGATTTGATTGAGCTAGGCAGAAATTACTGGTACCCAACCTACAATGAAATGCAGGAATAGTTGTGTAAACCCATTTGTTTTCCAGATTCAGGATAGTATGTTCTGCCTTACACTGGTGTAGTTGGAAGGAGAAAGATTAACCTTTGGATGCTTGTCAGAAAGAAAGGGAAGAATTGCCTATAATGCCACTGAATTGAATTGTAATTCAGGCAGTGAGTTAAAAAAACCTGGGGAAATCAACAGGTACAAATTTCTTGTCAAGTGTTATACTGAATTTCTCCTTCAGTATTTTCTCTAGTTCTTCCTCTGCAAGCATTCTGATTTCCACAAGATCCATATTGTCCCTATAATTGTACTTTACCTCAGTGAGTTTCCACCCCACCAGCGCCCGGATGCCATCGGTGGTCTGCAGGCTGCAGATGGACTTGGTGACAAAGAGCGAGTCAGGTGCTGTCTGCAGGTGGAGATTGCAGCCCATGAACTCCTCAATGTCTCGTGGCTGAAGGGTGAAGAGATAAATCCGATGACAAACTTCATTTTCCACATTTGGGGAAGTCGAGGTGCTTGGGTTCAGAACCCACTGCTTTCTTTTCACTTTCTCAAGGTACCAGGTGCCATTTTCCTCCTGAAGACGAAAGATCCCAGGAGTCTGAGGCTGATCTGTCCCTGAAATCAGTTCCATTGGCTGCCACATCTGGTAGGCCATCCCAAATCCCCCATCCACAATGTAGGATTTGCCATCAAGCTCCACCTGTAGCAGCAGATGATTGATTTCATCTGGATAGGCATCAAGCTCTGGGACATAAACTTTTGCTCCCAGAAGGATGATGTCATAGCCAAGAGTTTTCAGGACCCAAGACAGAAGGTAGTTGTTTTCCATACACCAGCCCCCACGTTTGTTCCTCACTATCTTCTTGTAGATCACTTCCAGGTCCAGCTCAATTCTTTCTCCACAGTGGATGCTGAGGTTTTCATAAGGGATAGCTTGGATGTGGTGCTGGAATATATCTGACAAGGTAGCCAGGTCTGGATTATTGGGGGAACCCTGGTAAGAAATTCTGTCAAAATACTCCTTGATGTCCATGCTGCCTCTGAGAGAAGGGTGGGAAAAAATAATAGGCTGTGTCAGAGGAGGTGGAAAGCTCTTCCCCATCCCTTATAATGGGGTGCTCAAAAGAGGAGCAGGATTTGACTAATATCTGTATCAAAGGCAGCTGAGCAATAATGCTGAGAGTAGCCAAAGAGATGCTGCTGATGAGCACAAATGTTATTTTTATTTGCCTCTTTTACAGCTGTGATGAGAGGCTCCAGCTGTGCTAAGCATATTTCAGCAGAGTTCCTGCCCAGCAAAGCTACAAATCTCTGTAGGAAGGAACAAAAGCAGTAGCAGCAGCAGCAGTGATGTTTCCCTGCAAGAAATTATAGCAACTGAGACTCTCCAGATCTGAACTGCTTTACTGGTGGCTTCAGCACAGCAGAAGCAGAAAACAAACCCTCCCACTCTTGCAGTGTGATCCAGAGCCGCTTCTGCAACCAAATCTGTCCTGCCACAGTGTTTCATTCATTCTTTAGGCAGCCAGGCCTGAGCTGGTCTCACCTGCTCCTGCTCTCTGTGCCAGCGGTAGCAGATGTGGCCTGGAGTGCAGAAGGGTTTTTTAGGGCAGAAAAGGCTGGGGGAGAGGTTTTGCTGCATCTGCTGTGAGCTGCTTCCCCATTCCTGCTCATCACAGCCCTTCTCCAGCAATGGGAGGAATCCAAGGTTGGGGCCTAAACAAGGTTCAGAGGCCTCACACTTTCTGAGATCATCCTTTGGGATCCATTGCTCCTTCTGTTCATGATCTTCCCATTGCTGAGTGGCTGCCCATGGGTGAAGGAGAAGACATTGCCCTCCTCTGGTATGGCAGAGAGCTCAGTGCAAGGCTATTTCACAAACACAGGGTGGAAAGCAGCTCGAGCCTTCCCAGCCCTTGATGGAAGCAGTGGGATTTTGATGGAGCCAAGTACTCTTGTTATTCCTCCCCAGGCACTGCTAAATTTCAGACATCTGTAAATATGAAGCAATGTTCTTCCCATTATTGACCCAAGAGGTCCAGAAATGCTCTCAAGTTCCTGTGCGCAACTCCCAAAGTAAAATCAAAAGAAAAATATCCAAATGTTCAACAGGATTATATTCCCAATCTGATGAAAAATGGCAAACCCAAAATTGTATGGGGATTTAGGGAGGGTACATTCAGTACATAAACAAAGAACATGAAAAATTCCCTTTTGGTGTAATATCCTGGCAGAAGCAGAGGGTGGGTCCCCACATATCCTTTAGGATAGAGGCTTTACAGAACTCCGACTATTGATCAGGGCCACCGCTCTGTCTCAACATCCAAGCAGGCCTGAGTGATCCACGATGGGGTTAAGAGCATCAGAGTCAGGAGCTTCTCTTTATTCAGCTTTTGGCTGTCCCCAGGATTTTCCCAGAACTACAGTTCTATTCATTTCTGAAAACTTGGCACAAGCTGAGTTCTTGTTGTGTGAATTTTAAACCAGTGTCCCAGTTAATCCAGTTTTTTTCCTTTTTTCCTCTTCCTTTCTCTCTGCCACAGGAAGCAGAACATGTGCAGTAACTTTTTACTTACAGGGAAAAGGATGGTGTGGGTTTGTCTGTCTGTCCATCTCTTGAGGGTGCTTACAGGGCTGTTTTTATGGGGGTTGCTGAAATGAGGCAGATGGCACAAATGCCCGACTTGCTCAGCGTATCCACAACAGCGAGCAGCTGAGCTCCCTGCTCTGCCCTTACACCATTTCTGCTGTGTTTTGTCCCCAGACAGATTTAACTTCCTGCTTAGAGAGCGCCCAGCTACCGAGATCCGGGGGTTAAGAAAAAGGCTTACCTGGAAAATCAATTCCAGTGCCAGTGTGCCTCCGGGCTTGGGGTGTTCTAGGCTAAAGCAAGTGGCATTGCTGGCTGTCCTATATTTAGCACTGACAGGGCTTGAGGACTGCTCTCCAGCTGCTCTTCCGGGGAATGTCCTTTCCCTCGACTGGCTTTCACACGCCTCTGTCAGAAAAAAAAAGAAAAAAAAAAAAAAAAAAAAAAAAAGAAAAGAAAACCCGGAAGTGTGGTGCCTGAGAGCTGGAGTGAGCCAGCAAAGCCAGCAGCAGGCTGTTATAGATACGTATTACAATATTGTCTTTTTGTAAATATTAGATGGATTTTTTTATGTGTGGTGTTAAAGTAACTTTGCTGCAAAGATATAGTTTTTATTTCTGATGTAAATTAAGTTTAGAACATTGTACTGAAATAGCTGATATAAGTATGCTTGTGTTAAAATGCCTGCTTGGATTGGATAACATCCAGTGAACATATGATGAGGGCACCTGCTACAGATATGCCAACTATCAGCATTCACCATGTGAAAACAGTGTGGCCCAATGCCCAAAAACTGGAGGTGGTAATGGAACAGACTAAAACCACAGCCAAGGAATACGCATGCTCTAAACAGGAGGGCCCAAGGAAGAGTCACACTAAACACTTCTTGGAACACATAAACGAGTTTGGGGGAAAAGCTTACTATGCATAATTGTTTATGATTATGTAACAGGCCAATGCAATGAGAAATGCTATATAAATGGTGTTTCCAAACTAACTGGTGCGCTCTTGGCTGAGTACCAGGATAGAACTCGCCATAATAACATTTGCTCTATGGTCTTTGTCACCTGTCATCATTTCTTGAACATTTAAACTGTTACAGGACAGTGAACTGTGTTCTTCCCAAGTGCAAACCTGGCTCTTGTTAGAGCAGAGGCTGCTTCACACTTGTTTGATGCTGTCTGCAGGGGCCTACTCAGGCTGTCACCAAAATGTTTTTGTTCCAGTTGCTTCCTGCATGTGCTCAGGTGATGCAGTTTTTTACTCCCAGTCTTTAGATTACTGTTTGCTTGGAAA